TTTCTATAATATACCGCTTTTTGTGTAAGTAAACCAAGTTATTTTATGGAGTTCTTAAAAAAAACTTGACAGTTTATTTGTGGAGGATGTGACAGTCTGTCTCTAAATAATGTCTTTCTAAATAATGTCTGTCATTCCTTCCATTAGTCCAGTGAGCCTCAGCCTGGGGTAATTTTGCCCCCCTCCCTGGGGAACATCTGGCAATGTCTGGAGACCTATTTGGTGGTCACAACGGGGGGTGATGCTACCAGCATCTAGCGGGGAGAGACCAGGGATGCTGCTCAGCATGGTACAGCGCACAGGAGGCCCCACAGCAAAGAATTCTCTGGCCCCAAATGTCAAGAGTGTTGAAGATGAAAAATACAGAATTAGCTCTTCCATCTTAGTTATGCCAGGTCTGTACCATTTTCTTCATCAAAATTTTACTGTTATGATAGGTTTGGTATTATTACTGAAAATTCTGTTATAGTCACAAATATAAAATATATCTACATATTAGGATAAAGTGAATAACAATTATATTAATGTTGTTAAGAACTAAAATGTTCACAATTAGAGAAAAGACACAAATATAAAATCAAATAATTTAAAAACCTTGTAATCTTAAATTTGAGCGGTAAGTATTAGTATGAACTCATCATTTGCCTCTTTTTAAAACTAGGTATGTATTTCCTAGCTCTGCCCAATCAAAAGGCCAGGAAGCAATGATAATCCAGTAGCAAGGAACACCCATAACTGTGAGACTGTGATCTCTAAATAGTATTTCCCATTAAAGGGAACCAGGGCTCTGTGAATCAATGGCTGATTCCAGGTCTGGAGCAGAATATACAAATTGAGCCTGGGTCACCTTGTGCAAATGACAAAGGAGCTTGGCCCTGCCACACCTAACAGAAGGGGAAGCTAAGAAATAGAATCCAAAAGTTGGGGTCCTGTTATGAAAGTAGAAGGATGAAGTAAATATTGGGAGGCAGGGGCTTCCCTGGTGGCGCAGTGGTTGAGAGTCCGCCTGCCGATGCAGGGGACACGGGTTCGTGCCCCGGTCCGGGAAGATCCCACATGCCGCGGAGCGGCTGGGCCTGTGAACCATGGCCGCTGAGCCTGCGTGTCCGGAGCCTGTGCTCCACAACGGGAGAGGCCACAGGGGTGAGAGGCCTGCGTACCGCAAAAAAAAAAAAGAAAAATATTGGGAGGCAGTTATCAATCTCTGCCACAGCAGCATGGGGGCTGACAGTCAGGCTCTGGATCTGCCTGTCCAGTACAGTAGCTGCCGACCACATGTGGCTACTGGGCACTTGAAGCAAGCCAATCCAAACTGAAGCATGCCCTAAGTATAAAGTGTACACTGGATTTCAAAGATTTAGTATGAAAAAGAGAATGTAAATATCACAATAATTTTTATATTGATTATATATGGAAATGATAGTATTTTACATATACTGGGTTAAATAAAATAGGTTATCAAAATTGCATATTATCTGTTTCTTTTGATAATTTTTAATGTGGCTACTAGAAATTTTTTAAGTATGTGTGCCTCACATTATATTTCTATTAGACAGCGCTGCTCTAGAAAAACCAGTTACAGGGTCTTCTGAAAGGCTCGGAGCTTGGGAAATGGGACAGACATGGGAAGTTTAGCAAAGGCATGGAGAAAGAGGAACAAAAAATTCACAGAGGGAGGGAGGGAGGGAGGGAAGACAGACTAGTGGCCACAGAACAGAAGAAAATATCTACAAATCTGATAGAGGACAAAACAAATCTTATAACTCAATAATTTAAAAACGGACAAAGGATTTGAAAAGACATTTCACCAAAGAAGATATGCAACTGGCCAATAAGTACACGAAAAGATGCTCAATATCACTAGTCATCATGGAAATGCAAATCAAAGAGAGGAGATACCACTGCTCATCCACTAGGATGACTATAATCAAAACGACAGAGAATATCAAGTGTTGATGAGGATGTGACGAAATCGGAACTTTCATCCATGGCTAGTAAGAATGTAAAATGGTGCAGCCACTTTGGAAAACAGATTGGTCGCTCCTCAATTAAACATAGAGTTACCATAATAATTGCACTCAGAGGTATAAAAATAGGCAAATCTATAGAAACAGAAAATAGATTAGTGGTTGCTTAGTGCTGGGGGTGGGAGATGGGGGTGACTGCTAATGGGTACAGGGTGTCTTTTCAGGGTAAAGAAAAATATTCTAAAATTGATTGTAGTGACGATTGTATAATCATATAAATATAAATATAGCTAAAACCATGAATTGTACACATTAAATGGTGAATTGTATGGTATGTGAGCGATATCTCAATAAAGCTGTAAAAAAAAACTAATGATGTTATACCAAACAAGTCATGAGATCATAGTGAGAGAGAGAGAGAGAGAGAGAGAGAGAGAGAGGGAGGGAGGGAGGGAGGGAGACTGACTCATTGGTTACCACTGGAGGTTGCTAGGGCGCAACTCATAACTCTAAAAATCAAAGAGAAAGAATTCTGATTTTCAAGTATGAACTACATTTCAGGGTAACCAAATAACCCTATTGGATGGACCAAAGTTCTATGGTAGAGAATAATTCCAGCTATCAATCAGAAGGAATGACAGAATCACACCTCTAGTGAAATAAGTGATTCAGGCAAAGATCATCAATGGATGCTACAACCATTGACGGGAACTATAGAGCAGAGGAGCCTGGCTGACACACCTGAACCCACTGATCAACCTTGGTACCACCACAGGCGGGACAACAGGGCACTACATGCTTCTGCATGTGATGCAATGTGATGTACTCAGCATCATGTATGAAGTATGTCGCCAAAAAATTATATTAATCCTGAATTGAATCTAACCAATCTAACTTCCAGTCTAGAGTAATTATAAGGGTATGAAGAACTAGCTAAGTATTACCATGAGCATACAGTGAGCCACATCCTGAAAGTTTAGACTCTGCAGGACAACCTCCCTAGCAATCAAGTCAATAGCAAGTGGGGGAAAAAAAGAGGGAGTCTGTTCTAGATTAAAAGATACTTAAGAGAACAACTAATTACAAAATGCAAATCTTGTTTGGTTACCAGTTCAGTAAACCAACTGTAAAAAGACATTTTTGGAACAATATGGGAAATCCGAATATAAACCGGGTATTAGAGGATACTAAGCAATTACTGTTAATTTTGTTGGGGTTGATAATGACACTGTGATAATGTAAGAAAATGTCCTTATTTTTTTTAAAGATGTATGCTGAAGTATATATATGTGAGAAATAACATAAGAATCTAGGATACAGTTTAAAATGTTGCGGCAAAACAAGAGAGGAGGCAGCAATAGATTAAATCAATTGGGCAAGATGCTAGTTATGGAAACTAGAAAATGGTGGGTTCATTGTGCTCTTTTCTCTTTAGTGTTTGTCTAGAATTTTTCATCATAAAAAGTTTTTTTTTCAACCCAGCGATGTTCAAGAATGGGTAGGACTTACCAGTTCCCAGATATGCTGAAAGGATGCAATCTGTGATGTCAAGGAATCCAAGCTCAAAAGCACATATGTATTTGCCATTTGACATGACGAGAGGCAATTCTTTCAGAAAAACCCTTCTAGGCTTCTTTATTTTTGATTGCTTACTAGGTTTTTGTTTTTCCTCTCTGAACCATTTTATGTGAGGTTTCCCAACAACTGATCACCTCAGGGAAACTGCGGCAGCACTATAACCTCCTCAGCTAAGCCCTAGGTTTGGCTGGGAGGTAAGGGCTCTCTATTCCTCCCTGCGGGGCACAGCCCTTCCCAGAGCCGTGCACGAAGCTGTCCAGTTTTCCCCTACCCTCCTTAGCTGACTCTCACAGTCCCCCTGGGTCATAAGTAAAGAGGTTATGATCAACCCTCTTTCAAACAGGTGAAGGAATGGAGATTCTTTCTCTAAAGGATTTCACCGCCACATTTAAATGATGGTTCTCTGTGTGGATTCAACTTTAACATTGTGTGTAAACACCTCTCTCTTCACAATGTAAAATGCTGATCACCTTAGCACATTAGAAAAGTCTTATAAATTTGAGAAGAGTTGAAGCTGGGTTGAAATTATGAATATAGTTAAAATAACAGATTACACATGAACATCATCACCTCTTGCCAGTGACGACTTCTCTGGGAGCCTAGATGATCAGCATGCACAGGCAGAAGGGTGTCTCTTTTCACCTTGGAATGTAGAAACAGAAATGGACGAGGTAGGGGGAAGGGGAAGAGTGTCACGAGTCCCAGCTCTGCTGCAAATAGGATGTTGACTTTGGGTGGACTGACCTCCCTTGACCTTGGTACCCACTCTGCAAATGGCAAGAGCAGCATTTCCTTATCTGGCTCCTGTCTTATCTGCAGCTCAAAAGAAACAAGGTATGTGAAAATATTCTTGTAACTATAAAGGGATTATAATTATTTTTTAAAATATTCTCTCCAAGTAGATATTATTTTTCTCTAGTCAACATCTCTCATTTCCCAATTCTGCTTCTAGAATTGGTCTTAAACCACTCTGGGATACAGTCTGAATAACAGACTCTGAGAGTAGATTATATTTTCAATTAGATATTATTTAGCTTCCTATTTACTGCACAACATTAAGGTAAAGATTTTCCTCCCAACTTAAAGTTTAATTTTAACATGTTAAAATCCAAACATGTTATTTCTGGAATATTCTTTGAGTCCTGCAGATTTTAGTATTTTACAGTTCTCTGCCAAACCCCTGCTTAAACACAGTTAATAATTTGGCTTTAAACTCAGAATGTCCATTTTAAATATTGTCAGTGGTAGCCCTGGCCTATGTTCCTTCTGTTAAGGCAGATTCTTTCACGGTACAAGTAGCAAGGATTGAGGACTTGACCAGGAAAGCCTTCAGCTTAAACTTCCAGGGCTGGAACCAAACAAGAGGACTTTTCCTGAAGTGCTCAGTATAATATCTTCATCTGTACTCAGTGGCTCATGAAAATGCATTCAGAATGTACTCTCTAGATCTCTTACCATGGCAGGTTGGAGGCTGCTAAGACAAACACGAGATCCTCGGAGCGGGCCAGCCCATCCATCTGCACCAGTAACTCAGTCTTCATCCGCAGGCTTCCTTCGTGCTCTCCCCTAGAGAAAGACGAGAAGGTGAGATGCTCCCAAGAGGCAGAGTCTTTGCTTCCATGACCAGAGTGACACTTATAGCAAGGACTCAGTGACGGCAGACCGGGTTCCCTTCTGACAACTAACCCCTTCCCTGCCGCATTCTCAGGAGCTACTCATCCCAGGGTTGGAGAAAAGAAGCAATTGGTACTACTTTCAAACAGTAACAGAAAGGAAGTAAATGAACATAATCATGATATTGAAAAGAAAAACAAAGGTTGACAATGAACCAGAAAATAACTGAAGGGGAGACAGTGGCACTAGTAGATTAAAAAAGGCAGCCCCACTGTGTCTACCTGCCGTATCATTTACCCTTTTAAAAAATGGCTTCATTGAGAATAATCCTTTTCATTTATATAGCAGGCATGAAAGTACTTTACACACACTATTTCTTTTAGTATAATGTATGGACATAAACTGTCCAAGAAGAGATGAACCACAACACAATATTTCATTCTCTTCTAATAAGAGACAAGATAATGACACGGAAACTAGGCTTTCCTTGCACAGCAGAATAGAGGCAGTTTTCTGTGCAAATTCGTCCTCTGATTTTCCCACCACCCTCACTGCTGAGACCCTCCAGCCAAGAAAGAGATCACTACACCATAGGACGAGCACAATCAAAACTGGCTCAAAGTCCTGACCAGCTCCAGCAGGCTCTCATGTAGGTCAAGTTAAAAGGACAAAAAAGTGCCTTTCTAGCACAACACAACATTCAGTTTCTCATCTCTGCCTGTATATGGTGGCAGCCCAAATTAGGCTTATGGGTTTTTTAGGAAATGTGCCCCTTTCTATCTAAGAGGAAACATAAATATCGTTATATATTTATCTAGCATTTACACATAATTACTATTCTTTTAACATAACATGACCCCCAAAGTCTTCAGACCACCTGCCCTTATTCCCTTATCCTTTGAAGACTCTCGTTTTAGTGTTTAACTTCCAGACAAGGAAACTGACACACTCAAGGCTGGTAGATGAAGTTTCCAAGGTAGCTCAATCAAAGCTGTGGAGGGCCCTGGGGATGGAGATGGGCAGAGTGCATGTAAGGGCAAGTGTCACTGCAGTAAGGCAGGCCAGGAGCACAGGGCATTGCAGAGGAAGTGACCACTAGGGCAGCCTGGTGGGCTCCCAGCCAGGCCCCCGTGCAGCTGCCTGTTCCTGCCAGGCCCCCTTTGGAGAGGCAGATCACCTAGCCTGGGGCTGGCTAGCACCCATGAAGCCATAGAAACAGTTACATTTCAATCAACGACATGAATCCCATGCATCTTGGATGCATCTTGATGGTTGTTTTTCTCTGCTGGGAAAATGGTTTTTAATAAGTAAAATTTCATAAATTACATTCTAGTTATACTTCCAACAAGATAATTGTTTACTTTTTATTAATATTAGTTCTGCCTTGATGATAGACCATTAGAAGCCATCAATAAATGCAGCTGTGTTGAGTTTTCCCTGAGAGCTGTTTTTTCAAGCCAGGGATACAAAGTTTAGTAAAAAGTTTCAAAGAATAACACCTCTGATGAAGACAGAAAGGTGTTCTTAAAACACACACACACACACACACACACACACACACACACACACACACAACCTCATTACAGTCTGAGATGTGTTCTGCCTGCTGGGGACATTAGTGGACACTTAATCTTTAGAGATAACATATGTGACATATTTAAAATCGGTCCGGCTGAGCCACAGTCTGGTGTCACAGAGAAGTGGCGGCTTCCCTGGCCTCACACGCCTTGTCCAGGGCTGCCTCTCAGGGCTTAGCCCTCGGCAGCCCCGCTCCCCCCAGGCAGCCCCTCTGGCTCCAGGGGAGGTGTTCACAGGCGGCTATCTTGAGCCAGCAGGATGGTTATGGCAGCCTGGGATCAGGGGCTGGGTGATCTTCAGGCCTGAAATCCACTCTGTGGGGAAAGGGCAAGGGAGGATGACATTTCCTCTGGTTATAAAAACTACTTAAATCAGCTATTCAGTTAACATGATCTAATTTAAACACCTTTCCATGTGTCTGCAGAAAATCTGTGGGATTATTAATAGGCTCATTCTGCTGGTAAATGTCGATGGGCTTCCGACCGTCAAACACACTTACGAGAGGGGAGAAGTGATGACCAAAAAAACCCTGTCTGTTACCCAGGAGCCGTGCCTCTCTGACTCATCACTGACTCCAGCTCGTCCAGGAAGATGGTGGAGGGGGCGTGATAGCGGGCAAGTTCAAATAACACCTGGGTAGGAGAAAAGCAACCACTTGTTAATTCATATACTTAAAGTTCTCAGATGCTCCCAGAGATTAAAAGCTTAGGATAGCTGTAACATTAAGCATTTATGCTTCACTTTGTTATTTCACAATAACTTTATAATCGTTACAGTTACTTCTCCCTAGCACTACCCCATGGTCCAATTATTTCCATTTACCACTTGGTAAAATTACAGCCAGAGAGAATAAGTGGTTAGCTCAAGGTTATTAATCATAGGATTTCCCTGGTGGCGCAGTGCTTAAGAATCCGCCTGCCAACGCAGGGGGACACAGGTTCAATCCCTGGTCCGGGAAGATCCCACATGCCGTGGAGCAACTAAGCCCGTGCGCCACAACTACTGAGCCTGCGCTCTTAAGCCCACGAGCCACAACTACTGAGCCCGCGTGCCACAACTACTGAAGCCCATGCGCCTAGAGCCCGTGCTCCGCCACAAGCGAAGCTACTGCAATGAGAAGCCCACGCACTGGAATGAAAAGTAGCCCCCGCTCGCCACAGCTAGAGAAAGCCTACGCGCAGCAACGAAGACCCAACACAGCCAAAACTAAATAAATAAAAATAAATAAATTTACTTTTAAAAGTTACTAATCATAAATGGGAGAGCTTAAGATAAAACTCAGTTCCTGAACTTTGTTAGTTAGTTTGTTAGCTAATTTGTTAGTTAACCCTTGAGACCCCCTGCCAATAACATGTTCCACGTGGACACAAAAGCCTTGGAATACGTAAAATCAGTTAATAATTTTTTTTCCCTTACCACTTAGAGACAATAAGGTTATTCTCAGAAGGAAGAACTGCGGAGAAAGGATAGAGTTCCAGTCATGGGCAAGAAGGCCAAAGAATTTTGCCCTTTCTGCTCCCCAAATGACTCCACGAGGTCCCCAACACTGCTGTTTGGTAGGCTCAGGTACTTGAAGGCAATTCCCAATTGAATAAAATGTTCCATTCCATAATAAAATATTATAGACTGAATAAGAACAGGAAAGCAACCAGCAAAAGAACAGCCATAAAAACAAAATCGAGAGCTCTAAAGGGAGATGTGGTGGTGATGAAAAGAGTATAAAAAACTATACCTTTTTTTAAAAAACCCTGAAACTAATCTCTTGAGCACCATATACAATTCTTCCCTGGTTGATCAGAGAAAGCATTAGAGATTTAGAAAAGAATAGATGTTCTTTAATAGGCATAGGAGATTTATTCTCTGTGTCACTTAGCACTAGCAAAGCATCACAGAATAAATAAGAGGGGAAGGGCTCAGAAAAGGCCAGATTGTGGTTTTCATAGTAGTAGCAGGTCGTCCCTTACAGGCCTCCCTGTCACTGAATGGGAAACTCCTCACCTTCACCGCTGCTTGTGTGTGTGGTCCCTCCATGCTCATGCGCAAGTGTTTTCCTTTCACAGAATCCTATTTCTGGCTCAGCCCAGTGAGCTTGAGAGAACAGTGTCAATGCCGGGACACTCATCACAAATGTTTTTTAGACGCAACAGAGACCAACTCATTAGCAGCAGGTAATTTGTCTTCCTGTCACAAAGAGAAAAGCTCAAATATACCTGGTATGAAGGGTGATTGCAACAGCAGCAATCCGCCCAATGAAAAATGGCATATTAGAACACTTTTACACGTTTTTAAGGAGCTCCCCAAAGTGCAGAGAGACCAACAGCCTCGATAAGACCAAACATCCTGCTGGAAGGAGAACCACGTCTGGAGCCTATGTCTCCACATAAACCACACCACTACCCTTCCACCGCCAGAGAATATATAGAACCCTGGGTAAGTTCTTGGGAAGCACTAGTCTAAAATTTTCAGAAGCTCTTGGGGGAAGTTAAATCGCACAGCTGGGGGAGGGTGGAATGTTGAAAGATGTAAAAGCAACAACAGGTGCGTGCATTTGCTGACGAGACCACTCAGCTACGCAACAGCATCCGCTCCTAAGAGACATGAACATGGGGAGGGGAGGGAGAAACGTAACCAAGGGCTCCCTATACATAACTCTTCAATTGGAATAGAAAGAGAAGCAAATGGTAGGAAAGCGTCTCTGATTTAGGGGAAGGCCTTGAAGGGCTTTCTTTATCTGAAAGCTTCACTGTAAGAATCTTGACAGCATGACCAAGGTTTTCCAGGTGAGGCTCTTTCCAGGAGCTCAGAAAATAAGAGTAATTTCTGAAAGGACAGAAGATAAGATCCTTCCAGGTTAGCATTAGCAAAGTTATCTGGTTTCCTTTTTGTTTAAAATTAATTAATTACTTTATTTATTTATTTTATTTTTGGCTGTGTTGGGTCTTCGTTGCTGCATGCGGGCTTTCTCTGGTTGCGGCGAGCGGGGGCTACTCTTCGTTGTGGTGCAAGGGCTTCTCCCTGCGGTGACTTCTCTTGTTGCGGAGCACGGGCTCTAGACTCGCGGGCTTCAGTAGTTGCAGCACGCAGGCTCAGCAGTTGTGGCTCATGAGCTCTAGAGCACAGGCTCAGTAGTTGTGGCTCACAGGCTTAGTTGCTCTGCAGCATATGGGATCTTCCCGGACCAGGGCTCGAACCCGTGTCCCCTGCATGGGCAGGCGGATTCTTAACCACTACGCCACCAGGGAAGTCCTGTTTTCCTTTTGAGTTATTTTTTAATATCCAAAAAATGTATTTCATAGAAAATAAGAAATATGAATATCTTCTAAACCTATAGAAAGATGCTCAAATTCATTCAGAATGAAAGAAATGCATGTTTGAGCACTTAAATATTACTTTCACTATCAGACTGGCAAAGATTTTTAAATTTGGGTACTACATGGTGTTGGCCAGGGTGTGAGGAAGCAAACACACACACCACTGATGGGAATGTAAGCTGGTGCAACCCTGTTGGCAGGGGATTTGGCAATCAGTGGTTTTCTTTTCTTCTGACCCAGCAACTCTACTTCTAAGAAATTGTCCTACACTACACTATATGCAAAGACACGTGTACAGAAAGACTCTTCACTGTAGCTTTCTTCATAATAGCAAGAGACTGGAAACAACCTAAATGTGTATTAAGAAAAGATTGGTTAAACACGTTTTGGTACAACCATGCAATGAAGTGTCATGCAGACATATTAAAAACATGTTCTGTCTATCTATAATAGTGTGGAACAATATCCAAGTTACATTGTTAAGTGTGAAAAAACCCACAAGGTACAGAAGAGTATGTGTGCTATGTTCCTACTTGTATCTTAAAAGGAGGGAGATCGAGATACAGTTGTTGATGTTAATGTAGATATAAATAAATGTTCTGGAAAGCAATTGTAGTAGTTTCCTCCAGGGAGAGGGCTCAGGGGTCTTTTTTACTATTTTTTTCAGAAAGCCTACTTTTTTTTCTTTGGCTGCATTGGGTCTTCACTACTGCACCTGGGCTTTCCGGCCTTCTGGCTTTCTCTAGTTGCGGCGAGTCGGGGCTCCTCTTCCAGGGGCTCCTCTTCGTTGCCGTGCATGGGCTTCTAATTGCGGTGGCTTCTCTTGTTGCAGAGCATGGGCTCTAGGTGCGCGGGCTTCAGTAGTTGTGGCACACGGGCTCAGTAGTCGTGGCTCGCGGGCTCCAGAGCACAGGCTCAGTAGTTGTGGTGCACGGGCTTAGTGGCTCTGTGGCATGTGGGATCTTTCCAGGCCAGGGATTGAACCTGTGTCCCCTGCATTGGCAGGTGGATTCTTAACCACTGCGCCACCAGGGAAGTCCCTGAAAGGCTACTTTTTAAATGTATGGTAAAGGAAGGGGAAAAAATTGAGGGTGGAATCATTTCCTAACTCTTAGAAGTCTAGCAAAACAATACTGAAGCAGAGGAAAACTTGAGTTAAATAAAATGCTCACACAGAATGGAGCATTCTAGTTAAATGACTTTTCTGGCTATTCAACATTAAACAAGAAAGTCCATTTAGTTTAAATCTTTGTTAGGAATATTCATTAGGGCTTCCCTGGTGGCGCAGTGGTTGAGAGTCCGCCTGCCGATGCAGGGGACACGGGCTCGTGCCCCGGTCCAGGAAGATCCCACATTCCGCAGAGCAGCTGGGCCCATGAGCCATGGCCGCTGGGCCTGCGTGTCCAGAGGCTGTGCTCCGCAGTGGGAGAGGCCACAGCAGTGAGAGGCCCGCATACCGCAAAAACAAAACAAAACAAAAAAAAAACCCAGAATATTCATTAAACATCTGAATTTCTTCTTTGCCTGGGTGAGTCTTGTCCAGGGAATCTTCCTCCGAGCACCTTGCAGTGTTTTGTGCTCATAGTTCAAAACACCACTTTTCATAACAGGAGATGAATCTGAACTGATTCTGGGGGCACCTTGTAAGTTTTGTTGTTCCTCATCACGCAGAAATGGAATGTTAAAGAGAAAAGTCTTCAGGCTGATAAGAATTCTAGTTTTTTGGATTTAAGCTAATTGAAATCTAGCTAACTAGAATCACATGGAACCCATAAATTTAGGAGCAGCTAAAATTAAACCCTGTCTGGCACTGAGTTAGACTCAAGATGAAGAACAATGAAACAGAAGATGTCAACATAGATTTCCATGAATTACAATCTGGTAGGGGTGATAAGAATTTATAAAAACTTACACATTTGAAGTAACTTGAGAACAATCACAAAGTAATAAGTAATAGGTTATTTTAGGTAAATCAATCCTTTAAAAATATTTTTTTATCACTTCCAAATAAGCCACAATATTTTGAAAATAAGTCTATCCAAAGTAATGTAATTTAAGCATAATATTTTAGAGTAATTTCTTTTCAGAAAATATATCATATTTATATCCACTTTGTATTGATTACTTATCAGTCATCCTACAGAGTGCAATAGTTTAACAGGATTTCTAAGCAGGACCTACCTTACACTGAGGCATAAATCAAAAAACAAGTGTTCTCATAAGGTGACTGGAAGGTACAGTAAAATTTTATAATATAAAATATACCATATACTATGAATGAGATATTGTAAAGATGGAAACAATCTCTTAAGGGAAGAAAAAAATCCCTACAGGCTATGGGCTCTGCAAAGGAAAGTTGCTCAGAACACCTGAAAGAATAATTAAGTTTTAAGTTTCTTGATTCTTCCTTAGAGTATCTAGTATAGGGACTAGCATACCATAGTAGCCTCTCAATAAATGTTAACTAAATATACTGCACATGCTTCTTGAATGAAGAAATAATAGACCACTTCAGAGACAATTTTTTCCAGCTTCTATTCCCAAGTCGCATGAATTGCAAAAGGGCTGTTGGTCAAATTCCCAAAGGAAGGGAGATCATGTTTGATGATAGGGGCATGACTGATAGCCACATATAGTAGTCAATCTACCTACCAGGTTTTTGGTAATTAAGATCCAGGATAAATTTGAACATACAAATCACTTAAAACAAATAAGATATAACTTAATTTTGTACCACGGTATTTTGCCGGAACTTATTCTAAAAAACCAAAATCAAGAATCCCTACCCGAACAAGTTTTTCTGAATCCCCTCTCCATTTGCTTACGATGGTAGATGCAGAAATATTAAAGAAAGTTGTTTTGCATTCCGTAGCCACAGCTTTGGCCAGCAAAGTCTTTCCTGTACCTAGAATCACATGTGGGTAAAATATATGAGCGGCCCTCGAGCTCCATTCCTCTGCCTGCAGACAGAAGGCAGTCACACAAGCAAAACAGGAGGTGGTTACTCAGCAAGCACTGCCCCAGCCCTGACAGGACAGATGGGGCAACTCGTCCTCTGCACACACGCTTCATGCCAAGGCCAAAACAGAAAGCCCTTTACCTGGAGGTCCGTAGAGCAGCAGTCCTTTCCAGGGGGAAAGGATTCCTGTAAACAGCTGTGGGTACTATGGGAGCAAGGAACAAGGATGAGGTTTAGTATCTGTACGTCAGCCTGCGCGCCCTGAGCTCAGGCAAGCTAGGGGAGCTAGGGTGAAACACACGCAACTCTGCGTCAGGCCCTCCTTTTTTTTTTTTTTTTTTCCGGTACGCGGGCCTCTCAGTGTTGCGGCCTCTTCCGTTGCGGAGCACAGGCTCCAGACACGCAGGCTCAGCGGCCATGGCTCACAGGCCCAGCCGCTCGGATCTTCCCGGACCGGGGCACGAACCCGTGTCCCCTGCATCAGCAGGCGGACTCTCAACAACTGCGCCACCAGGGAAGCCCATTAAATGGGTTAACTTATGTATAAAAAAAAAAA